TGTGTTTAATATGTTTGGATAAATAGAGCCAACTGATTTCAACAATGTTGGAAAGGACCTGATGATCTATCATAGTTTGAAATTTTTGAAAAGGCATCTTAAATTTGGCATGGAAGTATATCTCTTTTAGAATACAAGTGAATAGAGGTCTCCCTAATGATTATTTCAAGTTCGTAATTTTTTTATTTAAAAGAAAACGCTTATGTAGTAACCAGGCATTTCTTTTCTGTTCTTTGTGGTATCCAGGTTTTTCTTTTCATTGTGGTATAATTGAACCACAGTTTCAAAATTCATGTCTGGCAGATTCGCACACAAAATTGATGATCAAACTCATGCTAAAATTGACAAGGAGAAACTAGACGTTGTACCTCTTCTGCTTGCTTTCTTGCTCGATCTTCCAGTATTTTTTCTAGGCTCTGCTTCTCACCTTCCAGTCTAGCAACCAAGTCTTCATGTTCTTTGATAGCCTCCATGGCCTTGGCTGCAGCTTTCTCAGCCAGAATTTTCTGCCTCCTCCTTTTTATTTCTTCCCTCTCACGTTCAATTTCAGCATCGGAAGCTGAATCTGAGTCCGAATCTAAACCAGAACTTCCACCACTAGTTGAAGAGCCCGTCCACTCTTTTCTTACACCATCAGATATAGAACTACGAGAAACTTCATCTGATTTATGCTTCCCAGTAAAACCACTTTCTTGATGACTTTGAGCATTTGTCACAATGGTATTCATATCAGATATCCTCTTAGCTTGATCCGTATCAGGCACTGTTTCTGAGGATTGACTATTTCTTATTGTCAGCGCAGAATCCTCTGAAGAAAAACCCTTGGAATCAAAATTCCCACCAATTTCATTTTTTTCCACACTTTTCGCTTCAACTACAATATTGCCTCCAGCATCTTTCTTGTCCAATTCTCGACCTTCAGAATGCATAATGTTTTTGTCATTTTTTAGATCAACTCTTGAATTTGACCCCAATGAAACTGAAATATTAGATTCTTCCACATCACTTGTCTTCCTGGTTAATTTCTTTCTTTCCCCAACGGACCTATTGCTCTTAGTGTTGTTCTGAGTTTTCTTGAAATCCAGCACCGACATATTAGAACCTGCATTACTTGGTCTGCGAACGTCTCTCTTTGCACCACGAACTGTAGGTGATCCATTACTGCGGGATGCAGTCGAAGTTGAAGGTTGATTAGGTATACCGAGCAGTTCGGTCCAGTCACTGTCCGTTAGTGTAGATGGTTTTGACGTCGGTGAGGGTTTTGGTGCGGCAGAAATTACATTATCCTGGTTTCTGCTTACATTTAGACTTAGATCACTGCGCAATTTGCCATGATAATCGTTATCTACTTGGTTCTTCTTCTTCTTCAGCTGATCCTTCAAAGGTAAAATATCTCCCGTTTTTCCAATGGCTTCCAAATTATCCACGGCTGGAGGCCTTTCGCCCTTTTTAAGGGACTCCGCCGCTTGCTGATCGATCTGAATCGTCCATTTCACACAAAAATAAACAAAAACAAACTCGAAACGCAATAAATCAAAACATACAAAATTATACAGTTAATTTACACTATCAACACAATAATGCGCAGCTCGATTCACCATAAATCGGAACACACACGTCGTCTCGGATCTACGAATTTTCAAATAAGGTACAAGCAAAAGAAAATCGAACATCATCACAACCTCCCACCAAAACCTCAGAAATCAAACCGTAAGACCAAAAAGAAAAAGGGAAATGGGAATTCACCTGCTGGAGAATGCTCTCGGCCGCTTTAAGCTTGGAGGAGATCCAATTAGCCATAATCCAAATCCACGACCCAGCGTCCTCGTTGAGAAATGGAAATCAGAGGAGAAGCATAGTCAACAGTGATTTACATTCATATAATTCTTTTTGCAAAGCATCGTCGTTGTGGATTGAGAGGTCGCAGTTGCAGAGAATCGGAACGAGAAGGACGATAAGGGAAGGCGGGGGCGGGGGAAGCCGAGAAGGCTGCAGTGACAAGTAGGTTACGTGGAATGGAACACGTGGATTATCGCTGAAGTTTCTGCGCGGGTCCCAGGTTTTAAGTCACAAAGATTGGTGCACGACCAGTGGTCTGTCACGCATGAGTGACACCGATACGGTAACCGACCAACCTCATTATTCTAACAATGGATTAGATCGTAATAATTATAATTATCGCTAATTTATGTTAAAAATTCTAAATCCTTTTAAGACTATTTGGCATTCATACACACAAATATCTTAGGTAGAAAAAAAAAAGAAAAAAAAAACTCTAGTAAAAAATTCCCACTCTCGAATTTTCAAATTTTCAATTTGATCTGACAATATGTTAACAACTTAATTTTCGAGGTTTTTAATTTCAAACTTTTTTCTAAAAAGATGAAAACTATAACAAATAAAAATAAAAATAAAATATATTTGCGCAATTTAAAGCTATTTAAAACAAACCCATGTGGAATCTTACACGTTCTCTTACAATACACTCGCTTGATACCTCCGACACACGAACAAGGACAAAAAGAGGAAAATAGTTTAAGAAAAAAAGTACGAAGATATAAATAAAAGTAGAGAGGAGACGTGAAAGTGGCTTATTTTGTCCCTTGAATTGTCTTTTTCACTTAAAAGGTATTTACCATGCCCTCTCTTAATTCCACATTTAACTTAATTCTTACTCATAAATTTATTTATTAAATTCCATATTTTTTTTTATTTAAAAAATGGCACTAAATAGTTTTTTTTTTTTTAATATTTGAGGATGAAAATTGTTTTTCTTCCTAAATCAACCATTTATTTTATTATTCTTTGATAATTCTACATTTTTTTTAATTAAAGAAAACAAACTCGTCTCTTCTTGATAACTTAATTTTTTTTAACCTTTTTACTTTTCACCGTCATTCATTTTGATTAGTGCATGCCTTTTCTTACCATACGTAGCTTCTCATCCATTAAAATTCATCGCCAAATATGTCAATGTCGGAGCTTCTATTTTTGCAGCCAATCAAGATATTTGAAACCGGGTATAATTGAAGTGTATTACTATTTTAGAAGTCACTCTCATACCACATTTTCATTTACAATAAACTAAAATTAAAAAAATAAAAACATATATTAAAATTAAAATCCATAAGAAAAAATGGAATTGAAGGAAGATTATCCGCGTGATTAAGGGCCTTAATTAAAGGTATTGTAATTATTTATTTGTTTTTGTAACATAATATTGTAGTTTTTTCATTCACCATCCTGAAAATCTATTCCATTAAGAGAATGTTTGATTCCACTTGTTTATACTCCGAAAGGAAAAAAGGGGACAAAATTTACACAACTGTAATGAACGTTAGGATTCCGGGAATATCAATCGATTTGCCGGTAAATTCCTTTGAATTGAGAATCAAAGGCGAAGCTGGGAAGAAGGAGGAACCGAAATGAACAAGAGTTGAAATTAAAGATCGGCATTAATGGCGGGAGAACATAACCAGATCCGAATTTCATGTTACATTCGGAACATTGAAAACAGGAACACTTGGATACATAAATTCATAGATTCAGATTAGGAAGAAATGATAAACTGAAACGAAACGAAAAATGGAAAAGGAACGAAGGATAGATATCGACTTCGTTACCTGTCACATAGCTAATTGCTAATAACTTACGGAAAGCTAGGGCTAGGGCTAGGGCCCCGCGGCTGCAGTTGCATTTTGATTCGGCGCCTTGGATTTGTTAGCATCGCTCATCATCTTCCTAAACTCTTCGAAATTGACATTTCCGTCGCCATCGGAATCGACCGTGTGGATCATTCGTTGACAGTCTTCAATGGAGTAATTGATTCCGAGGCGAGTGAGGACGAGATGGAGCTCGGAGTGAGAGATGAGGCCGTTGTGGTCCTGATCGTAGAGATCGAAGGCGTCACGAAGCTCCGACAATCCAGCCTCGTCGGATGCCATCGGTTCCTTGCAGAAGGCGGCGAACTCGTCTATGTTGATGAAACCGTCCTTATCGTAGTCGAGATCCTCCATGATGCCACGTAGCTCCTCGTAGGGGATGGCAGAGCCTAAGGACTTGAGGACGGAATCGAGCTCGGTGATGGAGATCCTGCCGTCGCCATTCGAATCGAAGCGGTCGAAAACCTTGCGGAGTTCCTCGTTTTCATGGAGGAGGCCAGAGGGCTTCGGCTTGGTGATCTGGTCGGCGTCGGAGTTAGAGGACGGAATCGGATTCGAGTCAGTGGCCATTTTCAAAGATCAAGATTGGGGAAGACGACAACGAGGAGGAGAAAAAGAGGGTAGTTTCGATTTTGTGATGAACAAATGGGAAGGGGAATTGGGTATTTATAGGGGGGAGGATTGAAGAAGAAGAGGAGGAAATCCCGGCCGACGGTGTCTCCTAATTTTTCTCTTTCCCCATCAAATAATAGATGCTGTCCTTCTTCTTCCACGGTCAAGGAAAATCGGCCCTCCAAAACATTATTTTAATTCGCTTTTCTTTTTATTTTCAATTATTATTATTTTTTAATTGCATCTTAAATAAACCTTTAGTTTGTATTAAGTCACAAAACTTTAATTATTATATTTAATAGACCATATTATATTATATTATATTAAATAATATAATATAATAAAAGATATTAAAATTTTAATTTTATGTTAATAAGTTTTTGTTCTTAAAAATTATCTTGTAACAACTTACGGTGTATTAGAAAGAGATTTCCGCACCTTTATAAACAACATTTTTATTCCACTTTATACTCGATGTAGGATCTCACACAGTTCACTCCCTTGGGGCCAGTGTCCTCGGTGTCTTGCTCTAATACCATTTGTAACAATTCAAGCCCACCGCCAGTAGATATTATTTATTTTTACTTATGACGACGATGTTTATAGTTTTAAAACATATCTATTAGGAAAATGTTTCTACATTTTTATAAAAGAATGTTTTTGTTCCTCTCTCTTCTTAACGTGAGATATGACGTATCTATTATAATATAATATCAAATTGAAATGGATGGAAAATAATCACTACTTCATCCGACAATGTGGAAAAAGAGGTCGATGTGATTGTGATTGCAACTTTTCTAATCATTTTCCTTTTTAGCAAGAACGTTTGTGTATATTTTAACAAACCCAGTAAGGAAATGATAGTACGAAGTGATAGAAAGCTTACCTGATCACTTTGGTAAGCACATGGCCAAAAGTAAGCTGTCTCCGAGCTTTCATTGCATTGCATCACATCACCCTTTATACAAAATAGTTACCTACGAATCAGAAGAGCAAAACTAAGTAATGAATAAATGTGATGAAAGAACTTTAAGGCATGCTTTGGAAGGTCTATTCCTGTCAGATTTCATGGTTTTGAAACCATGATTCTTTTACCAAGTGGAAAGGCATGATGGTTCAAGAATAGAGTCACAGGATTGGATGTTACGAAAGACCAAGGTTTCATAAGTATCTAAACACCAATTTAATTTACATTTGCAAATAGTTCTTCAACTCTGTCTGGTCCAAGCCGTCTGTAGGTTGATTAGTTAAATGCTTGGGACGTGATTGTGTCATCTCATTTTGATGTAATTTGTGAAGAATCCTCCAGGTTACGGCATCAGGGGTTAACCCATTCTTTCGCATCTCTGTGACCAATTGATATGCTTCTCCTTTTAATCCCAACTTACATGCAGTATTGATCACAATATTGTAGCAAAAGATATTTGGAGAAACCCCAGAATCTGCTAGTTCATATAGAAAATGGCAAGCTTCGTTGAATTTGCTGGAGAGGCAAAGCCCTTTAAGAATAGCAGAATAAACAAAACTGTCATGAATCTTTGATGGCCAGACTATATCTTTCCAGAATCTCTTAGCTTCTTCGATTTTATTGGAATCACATAACCCATCAATTATCACAGCGTGAGTAGTACTGTCAGCTAGCACGCCATTACTAACCATTCTGTCAAAGGTATCCATTGCTTGGTTTGCCTGTTGAAGTTTAAACAAACCTCGAATAGTGGCATTATACGTAACAACACCTGGCATAATGCCTTTTTCTGGCATTACTTTATACAATATATCAAGAGATTCCCGGATCCTCCCAACATTCAGTAAGCCACATATGATAGTTGTGAAGGTCACCTGATCAGGGTTGCATAATTTACCAATCATCATATCGTCTAGTACCTTTAGAGCTTCTTCAATGCTTCCAACCTTGCAAAATCCCTTGATGACTGTATTGAGGGTAATAACATCAGGGTTACAATTAGTTTGAAGCATTACAACAAGCGTGTTTAAAAGCTCGGTTGAGTTATTTGTAAGGCAGACAGCTCTCAAGTATATGTTGTAAATTCTAGTTCTATCCACGCCTTCCTTGTCTATCATTATTTGAAGAACTTCCTTAGCCTTTTGGATGTCCAGCTCTCGGCAAAGACCTTCTAAAAGAACCTTATATGTATGTTCAGATGGTGAGTACCCAAATTCAACTCCTTCGACTAACAACTGATAAGCCCGCATACAATTTCCCTCCTTGCTAAGCCCATGGATAATAGAATTATATGATAGTAAACCAGGATTAAGCCCTCGCCTCCTCATGATATATACAATTCTTGAAGCCCCGTTATGTCTTTTAGCTTTACAAAGTGAATCTATCATCTGCCCATAAGCAAATTCCTCGGGCACACTCTGCCCCTGAGGCATATTTTCTGCTATTGAAAACAGCTCGTGGAAAGAACCCGTTAGACATAGAGAATCAACAAGATGGGCAAAAGCTGCACTGTTCACAGAAGGGTCCGTTTCTCCATTCATCTCCTCCCAAAGCTTGCATATGAATGCCATCCCAGTTTCAAAATCCCGTTTGTAAAGAAACCCACGAATTAGAACACTGTATGTAAGTGAATTAGACACCACATCATTCTCAGGCATTTCGTCAAACAGTTTCTCAGCAGCAGATATATTACCAACACAGCAGTATCCATCAATCAAGGTAGTGTAGGAAACAACATTTGGACAATGGCCTCTACTCTTCATATCAAATAAAACCCTATGAGCTACATCCGGTAGTGAAAACTTACAAAACTGATCAACCAAACGATTATAATTCACTATAGAAGGAACAAAACCAGGCTTAGCTTCAAACAAACAAACAAGCAAGCGCAAGGTGCAATATGGAGATTGATAATCAAGCAAACGAGCAATAAGAACATTACAAGTCCGTTCATCAGGCACACACCGGGAAGCAACAGAGAGCATAAAACGGCAGTGCGCTTCATGAAACCGGCGGGCATCACAGAGACCATGGATTATGCTACCGAGATTGAGAGGATGCATTTGGTAGCCGTGAAGGCGAAGGGCGTCGAGTAGCCTAAGCGCTTCATCGACATTTCGATCCTTGGTACAGAGACCATGAATCTTGTTCGTCCAGTAGGAGACGTCGGCAACACTCTCTTCCGGTGTCCAGTCTCGGCCGTCCGATCCATTTCCCGGCTGGTACTGCCGGAAATTGGCGGTTCTGGTGAAGAGGTTCGAGAACGATGGCGTAATGGAAACGATTTTGAGGGATGTTTTGACCGAGAGCGATTGGCGGGCCGCGAGAAACATTACAGGCGCATTCTTGTGAGGACTGAAGCTTTAAAATTCGCGGCAAAAAAATTTCGGTTCGCCCCTTTAAAGCGAACCGAAGGGGGCTTTTTTGCCCAATATTGTGGTTTTTTATTTATTTAATAATTAACAAAAACAATTTAATAATTAGAATATTGTGATTTTATTTTTGATAAATTTAAATAATGTTATTAGGTTTTAAATTTTATGACTATTACATAAATTGTGTAAAAGGGACTAAATTGAGTGTATTAATTTTAAAATAAAATTGTCAAATTTGTAAACTCATACCCTTATAAATGTAAATTCTCACCTATTAAATTTTTCTTTTTCTAATTATTAATATTGACGCCCGACTTAAATAATTTAATTTGAATTAGTTTGATCTTAAATGCATTTAGAGGACAACTTTACTATAGATATGGTGTTTAATTTCCATATATATAGAAATAAAAAACGAGAATTAAATAAAGTCACTACAAGTTTATTTATGAAATGAGGCATGGAACGGAGCCACTACAAAGAAGTTCCGGAGCCACTACGAAGAAGTTCCAGGGATTACAAAGGAAACCTGAAACTCATATTAGTCATAGGGTTAGAGAACGGGAATTGAATTCTCTGCAACCTAATTTACTGTAGTTCCTCAGTAACGGGGAGATTTCGGAAGGAAAGAGTTCGCTTAGACCGTTAGTCTTCGAACTTATAATAAATTTGTATTTCACCGCTTGGTGTTGGAGATCATCAACACATCTTAAGTTAAAGTAAAAGATGAAACTGAATGGTAGCTTATATTGCCAATAAAATCAGAATCAGAGAACAACTTATTTACGATACCCATCAGAAAGCTTGGCCAAAACCAGAGGCTATCATCCATGAATAAAAATCAAGCTACAATCAAGCACTATGCAGACTGTGTAGGACACAGAAGAATTAATATACAAATAATTTGAAGAATGGAAAATGATGGGAAGTGGAAAGAGCAGTAACCTCTAGCTAGCAGGGATGATGCTCCGATAAACCAGATCTTTCTTTCAGCCTTTGTGGTTTGGAAGATCAATCCACTGCAGCTGAATTTCGACTTCCCCGCATTCAACATTTCTCAATCGAAGGTAGATATCTTGAATTACTTTACCATCTTTCCAGACCACACAGCTCTCTTCAGCAAGACAGTTTTGCCTGGTTGGTAGCATTCGTGAGATTGTCGTTCCACTCGGAAGATTACTCAAGTTCATTTTCAGAGCTTCCGTAAATGATTTGATATCAAACTCAGCATACCCCATTTTGTCATCCTTCGTAAACGTGTCGTGATCGTAAACAGTCTGTAATCAGCTCAAAGATGAATTTGGAAACGAAATTCGATGTTAGGAAACACGGTAACGAAAAAGGAAGTAATGGAAGTTAATTTTCGTATAGCAACAAGATAAGTGATTCCTTAAAAAAGCTTTGATCAAACAAAACGAAAGATAAAGGCCAACCCACAATACAATATGGCAAAAGACCTAAGCCTGGATTAGCAATATCAATTGTTATAAATCGGTCAACAACAAGAACATGTCAGCTTTGTAACTCTGTGTGTATATCTACATGGAAACTGTTTAGAAGGCGTTCTACATTGCTGGCAGAGCAACATATCAAATATATATCATTTTGACGGAGAAAATAAGCATTCATGGATCATCATGGAGTTCAACAAGTATAACAAAAATCTCTTATACATGGATCATCATGGAGTTTAACAAGGATTACCAGCTTAATTGGAAGACTTGGGTCACTGACAGAAAGAGTCAGATCTTCATTCCAGTGAGGATTGATATCCTTCTTTATCACCCGCGTCTTCAGTTTCTAAATCAAGAGTTCACAAGAACAAAAGAATAAAGCAGCAGCAATACTTGAAAGTTCATTCCTTATAAGAAACAAAAACTAAAGACGTAGTTCAATGGAACATTAACATCTACAAAGTAATTGATTGACCTACCTAAAAAGCACAATTTATTGCTACAATTTCTCGAGATGTTCGTACAGAGTCACGAAACTTATGAGTTAACAATTCAACAGCCAGGAATTTAATTCATCTCATTCCTTAGATAAAACTCGCATACAAAAACTTCTAAGCTCCTCCCCCACACAAGATTCATTTCTGCACCTCCCAAATCTCCATTCGTGTAGGATGATCCAGAAGTTGGGAAATCTACAGGCGAATCTAATTAGACTTTTCAAGCCCTTACCGAACCATCCTTCTTCGCATGTTTCAAAGACTTCGTCCATGAAAACAATTCAAACATTCGCGCCATTTTTCGAGTCACACCAAAACAGCTTCAAATTAACCAATTACTACCCAAAGCAACATGTCTTTAACAACCTTGAAGCATTCCAAAAGACATAAAGAAACAAAACCTCCAAATCGAACCAACAAACGAAAGTGATCATGAAATAACAGAAAAGAAATACTTACTAGTTTTCCCATCTTGACGACAACGTAAGGATCGCTGCTACGAACGTCACGAACAGCAAGATTGACACCACGAATGACGCGAATACGGAGAAGTCCGAGCAGATTATCCATTAGCGCCAGAAGGCCACCGCTCTCGGGGATGAAGGTGACATCCGGCATCATTCTCTGCTCCCTCTATTTATATTATACCAAATAAAATTCCAGTTTGAAAATTAAAATAATCAATTTAAAAAAATATTAAAAAATAAGCCAATTCCGTGGGACCCAGAAGCTCCCGAAACCGATTCTTCCGGTAACAAGCATTTTTCGCCTTTATCTTTTATTTATTTATTTGTTACTATTTAATTTTTTTTCGTCGGACAGCAATTTTTAATGTTTTTATAAAATTTACATTTGGTCGTTTCAGGTGAGTGATGGGTGACCAAGAGATCCGGTTGTAGGTTGCGGAAACGATGGGAAGGTTGTGGATGAAGTTCAGGCGTATGAAACGAGCACGTGCCGGTTTTCTTTCTTTTTTTTTTTTTTTTTTTTTTCCCCTTAATTTTACCAAAATATTAATAAAATATAGTTATGGATGGATATTTATGAAAGAATTACTAAATATATTGAAAATAATAAATAAACATTATATTTTTTTATGGCTGCTTAAAATGGGCCCTATTTATATATTAACGGGCCGGGTCCAGCCCAGCCCAGTCCAGCCCAATTCTCGAAACTTGCCGGGAAAGCAAACACGGGACACTGAAACGAATCCAAGTGGATGACGATGGTCGACTTCCAAGTCCGCTTCGAACTTCAAATTCCCGCGCTTCGCCTTCTGCAGTCGGCGGCTTCATCAGTTCCCTTCCGAATTCGAAGCTTCAAAAATGGAACCATGGGAGGCCCTTGATCTTGACTACTCCGACGTACACTCCCTACTCCGTCCTTTGAAGCGCCACCGTAGCCCCCAACCACTCTCCGCCGCCCCCACTTCCACTCTCTCTCTCCCGCTTCTTGAAACTTGCTCTCTCTCCCCTTCCCAGCCCCAATCACAACCGTTTAACGATCTTTCGGAGTCGGATTTCTCATCTCAGAATCCAATTTGTCGATCCCAACGGATTTCGTCTGAATTAGAGTCCCCGTGTCCGTCCGGTGCGTCTTTGCGTATCATTCCTGGTCCTGCCGGAGCGGTTCAGGCGGCGATGCAGCGTAGAACTCGCGGTGATAAATCCTTCTATGGCGGCGATGAAGAGCCCGTTCCTACTCAGGAGTATATAAGAAGAGTTATCGAAAATGGCGATGAAGAGGACGGTGATTTTAATGGCAATCCGTGGGTTTGCGCTTTGGATTTTGTCCGCGGCCTAGGTTATCTTTCGTTTTCTGCTTGTTTGGTGATTTAATGAGTGGAATTCTTTGAGATTTAATTCAAGGGTTTTTGTAGGTGCGATGGATGGGAAAGGAGATTTGACTGAAACTCCATTGAGTTCTATCAAGAATGCCTTCAATGCTGAGAAAGTTGCTCTGGTAATTTTCATTCCTTCTTTTCACTTTTCTGGCGCGAACAGCTACAGTATCATTTTGTTTCTGAGGGGAAGAACATATTCAAATGATTATTGCTTAAAACCCATTTTCTGGCATCGACTTTTGCTAATATTTCTTCACTATAGCTTCTTGTAATTGCAAAATTTCTATTTGGGCTTCCAAATTTTGTTAATGCTATCTAAGTGGCTGCTTTGATAGGTCGTAGCCATTATCAAATCTTGTACCTCAAATAGTCTAGGTGGAATGATGGTAGCTTTGAAGGTTAGATTTCGGGCATGTCCTACACGCAAGAAGTAGCATTCTAAAATTCCAGTATTTTGTGGATACGAAAATGATCTTAAACTTCTTGTACCAGGATCCAACAGGTACAATAGACGCTAGCATCCACCATAGAGTAATTTCTGAAGGAAATTTTGGAAAGGACTTATCTGTTGGGGCAGTTTTAATATTGCAGAAGGTTCGATTTCCATTATTTCAGGCATCAATGATTGTGTTGAATTCCTTATCTTCTTTTGTTTGGAAACTTGAATCTTCGTGAACTAACGTTACAGCTGCTTTTCTCAATGAATGTTCATCTCATCTGCATCTATCCTCCAGGTTGCTGTGTTTTCTTCGACACGTTCTGTTCATGTGCTCAATGTAACAGCAAGTAACGTTGTCAAGGTATGGTTTGCTTTAACAATTGCTCAAATAGTTAGTAAGCCATTCAACTAAGGAACATCTTGTTTCTATCACATTTTTTCCACAGGAAAAATAAGGTTCTGAAAGAAAAAAGAATTCATTTCTAGCTTAAAAAAGAGATGTGTTTTCACGGCATCTATTGTAACAAATCATAAGAGTTGGATAAATTTTCAGCTAGCTCTTTCTCTTGGAGACAAACGTCATATGTGATTGGACAGCCCATATGCATGCGCGTAGTGATTATATTTAAGAAAAATTTGATTCCTAGTTTGTTTGACATGTGCAATTATATGCTTTTTTGAATACAGAGATACATAGCTGTTGTTGACTGCGGAATTTTACTGCCCCTTGTCATTCTCAGCCATCATGTTGGCTCATAGAAAAAAGAATTGTTAGGAGAAGTCTAGTTCCTGTTGAATTCATCCTCCTTATCTTTTAGTTAGATGCCATGGCAGAAATTTAGTTTGCATGTTAGTATAGCCATATAGTGCAGGCATGGTGTAGCTATTTTAGCTGGAGAATGTTCTTATTTCCTGTTTCCTTGGTGAATTAAGGTCAAAATTTTTCTGGGTTTTCACTTCCAGGTCCTCGGAAAACTTACCCTTCTACCTAACTTTTGGTTATGCTTGAAATCGTAGGTTATTTCCAAGGACAGTGGACCTCCTATAAAGCTCAATAGCCCTACAGCAATCATACGGCCTGATTCTAGAATTGAAGGTCGGCAATATTTTCATCCAAACTTTGTTTTTGTCTAAAGCCGCCCAATTGATTATGCCCAGTGGTTTTCATAAACGAGGTGCATATTTTTCAATTAGTCTCCTTGTACTGTGCAGAAACCCATGGAGAAGTACACATTCGGCAGATGAATTTTGACGTATCACGTGAAAAAACTCAAAATATCATGAACAATCTGAGGCAGAATTCTAAATTGAGAAGGAATGGACTAGGTGATTTACAAACAGGAAAGGGAAATGCAGCATCATCCATCAATTGGAAAGGGAATGGAACCAATTCAAACAGACAGTTTGTTGATCTGAGTACCTCCAAAGGAACTTCAAGTGTGGGTTGTAACACGCTCCTTGTTGATCAGGATCAGCAAACAGGGCTGGATGAGCCTATCAACCATCCTATGGGTACAGATTCAGGCGAACTCTCACAAGCCAAAGAAAATGGTGCTGCATCCAACACTGCTCGAGCCCCTAATAATCAAGAAGCTGAAAAAATCAACGAAATGAAGACAGCGACAAGAACACAAGAACCATTACTCCCACAATGGACAGAAGAGCAGTTGGATGAGCTCTTTGCATTCGACTGAGTTCCATGTAATCCTGAAAGCTTACTCGGGCATGTTTTCTCAATGCAAGTTTTTGGAAAGCATAGAGAATTCATTGTTTTGTTCATCACTGCCCGCAATCCTTCAAGGACATGAATCTTCAATCTGTTTCTATGAAGTAGTAAACTAATATTTTACAACAGTTTGTCTTGGGGAGAACTAATTCTAGAGTATTTCATCAAAAGGTTAAGATTATTTCATCTCTTCAAGATGTTAAAAGTTGTTTATAAGTTCCACAATTCCTGTCAAGCTGAACTAGTTACATATATCTTCCACTAAGAGATCTCTACCTGTGTATGTCTAGGGAAAAAAAGGTCAACTATCCTAACAATTTCTATGGCCAATTAATGCTTACTTGAGCTAGAATACAAGAGAAGACTCCAAAAATATTTGAAGTACTCTCACCAATCACATAAAAGTATTGCAACCATTCATCAGCTCTGTTATAACTATAATCCGCATTGAGAAAGGTTGGAGACAAAATTGGATTACACGGCTTCGCAAAATAATAATCAATGTTCCTATTCTCCAAATAAAAAAAAAAAATACAAAAATCAAGGGCATAACATTATTCCCTCTATATGCGCTCTCAAATGGAGCACTCTCAGATATACCACCAACCGCAAGATCGACTGTGTGGGTGGGAGTGCCCCATTGCCAAGTATAGGTCTTCATGGCAGAGAACAATAAGATTGCTCACTTACTGAATCAACTTGAGAACAGCTTTCTTAATCTCTCTGCAGATATTGATGCTCTTTTGTTTGTTGGTTCAAGAACAAGGGCATGACTAAAATCTGCAGAAAATATCACCATCAAAACAAACAATCAGGGAACTTCAAAAAAATATTTTAGGGCAAAGGCGGTAGACCAAAGTGCGAAATGCGAATCCATCAACTACTGATTGTTAGATTTGCACTAAAAATGAAGTTACCAATCGAAAGGAGAATTTGCAGTCAAGAAAAGAGTAGGATGATATGATATTCCAATATGAACTCAACAACTTATTCACGATCTATAAGAACAGTTGTGAGAAATTTGGCAAAATTCACTCAGGAAGCCATAAAATAATACAGTCAAACAAGAAGAAACAGTTTACCTTCAATTGCTTCCTTGTAAAAACCAAGCATCTCCCTCGCTGTACCCCTTCGTAAAAAGGATTTAACATTCTGGAAGATGGACAAGATTGGGAAATGTTAAGGAAATTGTGAAGTGCTTGAAGTCAAATGCTAATCTCACTGAAATGGAGGTCAAATGGAGTTCTTTTTTTTAAACTATTATTATTATTATTAGCAGAAAAAATGCCTCCGTTCATAACTCTATTATCCAGACATTCATCCAGGCCAAGGGTTGTATCCAAAATTTTGAAACTCGTTCAGATAGTAAACTAACAAGGATAGGGGAAAGAAAGGGTAAAAGGAGTAAGTAGATTCTCAACCTCCTTTTGTTTCAGTCATCAATGGAATTGTAAGGTTGCCACAAAAGCAAAAACAAGCTATACAAATTCAAATTATAATTTTTCAAACAACATTATTTTTATTTTAATTAATAACACATTATTATTTACTATGAAGGCAGCAGGATGTACAGAGGAGCAAATTACAGACCAAAAGGATATTTCAAAGGTTTCT